CCCTCTGATGTGAACACGCTGGGGTGGCCTGCAGGAGGATGAGATCATGTGGAAGAGGACCCACTTGTCCTGGCTGAAGCTTCTAGATCAGCCTATAGCCAGCTGACCCCAAAATACATGAGGGGTTCTGCCAAGATCAGCAGGGCCACCTACCTGAACCACAGCTGACCATTGGTGCATGAGGGAACCCAGCTGAGATCAGAAGAACCACCCAACCCATCCGTGGACTCAGCAGCGGTAATAAAATTGTTTGAAGTCACTGGGTTTGGGAGTGGTTTATTACTCAGCAACAGCTAACTGATACACTTCCCCAAGCAGGCCAAGAGCCCTGGTTAGGGAGCCCGGGACGTGCCTGGCAGTAATTTGTGGGGGTGAGTCCCTTCGTGTCCCTGCCTTAAGCTGGAAGGCGGCTCTGAAGCACTGTGAGGGAGTGCGTGGTTCCGATTCCAGCAGCTCAGGATGGGAATAAGGGCAGGGCTGCCCTTGCATGTGGGTGGCTCCAGATCCCATTGCTCCTGCAGCAGCACAGAAAGGCTCCTCAGAGGACCAGGAGTTTGTCAGGCGGAGGGAAGGAAGGCGGGTGCTCCAGGCAGGGGAAACAGCAAGGGTACAAGATGTACAGGGGGTGTGGGGATGACAGAGAGAGCATGAACATTGCTAGAACCTGGCCTGGCATAGAGCAATTACTTCACAAATGACATCATTGCTACTGCTGTGCGGAAGGGGCCAGCATGGCACGTGCCAGGTCGTAAGGGGCTGAAGAACTTGGTCTTTATCTGCAGGACAATAGGGAGCCACAGCTGGTGGTAGATAGGGAGTGGATTGGTCTGGCCAGAGCTTGACGGAACAGAAGCGAAGTCAAGGAGACCTGGGAGGGGCTGTGGCATCCTTCCAGGTGAGAGATGATGGTGGCCAGGGTCAGTGGGGAGGGTGGGTGGACTGTGGGATGCCCCAGGGGAAATGCCAGAGCTTGGTGACCTACTGGCTGCACCCAGTCAGGTGGAGGGAGGCGCTGACAACAGCCTGTGTGTGACCTGGGCACCCTGTGTGGTGCACAGCCTGATCCTTCCTCTCTGTCTTCCTTAAGCCTCCGTCTGAGGCGGCGGAAGGCCCAGGAGGCGAGTGCTGTGGGCTGGCATGGACTAGCCTGGACTACAGCCCTTGTTCCCTCACCCCCCAGTCGTGGGGCCTTCAAGGGATCACTGCTCTTCCCTGAGCCTGTCCTTGTCTGTGAGTGGGAACGAGAGGTCTCCCGGGAACTCAGGAAACATGTCGTGAACTTGCCTGGAAGACTGCAGGCAATGGCTGCCCCTCAGGTGGAGGAAAACCTCCCCCCAGGACCCTCCTTACCCAGGTCTTGCTGAGCAAGTCCCCTGATTGGAGGGCTGTGGCATGGGGAGAATGGGGGGATTTGGGGTTCCCTTGGCCAGCTGCCAGGGCACCCCTGCAGAGTGGTTCAGGGCTCTGGCCCATCCCTGCAGGGCCTTTGGGAAAGCCCAGATCCTGCCCTGTGGAGCTCTGAGCCAGTTTTAAACGTAAGTTCAGAGGGTGTGTGTGTGTGTGCACACACACGTGTGCAAACATATGTACGTCTGAAGAACAAATAGGAACTTTATCCTTCCCAACCCAGCTCCACATTATTTTCCTGCCTCAGGGGTGAACTATGTTGGTGAAAGGCCTTCCCCAGGAGGCACAAGTCCTGGCCTTGGTCTTCCCTCTGCTGGACTTGCTGTGTGGCCTTGAGTAAAGCCCTGCCCCTCTCTGGGCCTCAGTTTCTCTGTGTTTAAAACAAGAGATTTGGTCCAAGTCAGAGTCTGCATGCTGGTGGCACAAAGGCCAAGTTCAGCTTGCAGTCATGTTTTGCTCTACCCTCATGTGTTTGTCCACATACCCAAAAGTGGGAGATTTTACTTTAAAAACCCGGATGTTCAGCCCTTCTTGAAAAATCCAAGGGTCTGGTCCTGAGGAGGCCCACGTTAATTACCACGTGGCTACGATAGGCTGTCTCGAGCGGCTCACTTCCTGCGGTTGTGTGACAGCCCGGGCCCCAGGCATCCGAGCTTTCAAGACTATAGTCCCGGGCTTTCTGATTTTTTGACTCAGCCTCTTAAGATTTTGGCCTTTTTAACGTCAGTTTTGTTGAAAAGCCACTTTAGGAATAAACCAAAGAGGGGAACATACTTTTGCCCAACACAGAGCCAAATATTTATTACCATAAGCCGTGTTTGAAGAATCTTATCATTATGGAGAGAATAGTAACAGTAATTAATGATAATAATAATAATAACAATATTTAGCATTCATCTATTGCTCTGCAACTCAAAGTGCCATACAGTCGTTACTGGGAGGACCCTCACAACAGCCCTGTGAGGTAGGTATTATTATCTCACTTTTATAGATGGAGAAACTGAGGCTCAGAGCACAGCTGAGCTGGGCACCTCAGAGAGAGGGCTGGCGCCACGGTTGGGCACTAATTGTGCTAAGGGGCCAGGTGACACTGGCAGCCGACCTGGCCGTTCTTCTCACAGGCCTGGCTGCCCTCATGCCAGCCCACTCCTCATCTGGATAGTAAGGGAGGACACTGGGGTGGCTTCTGATGCCACAGTTATGTGATTAACATCAAACGGTCATCTGGGGAGGCTGGTCAGAATCTCCCCCATTCTCAGGTGCCATGAGGCCAGGAGCAGAGGGACTGCAGGCTTGGGAAGACTCTGCTTATGGTAGACACTGTAGGCTTTCCAAGGCAGAGACAAACTGTGACATGGGGGGCTTCAAGAAACTGCTGTATGTTTTCTCCTCCCTTACCCATCCACCCACCCACCCATCCACCCACTCACTCATCCATCCATTCACCCATCCACCTACCCACCCAGCCATCTATCCATCCACTTATCCATTCACCAATTCACCCACCATTCATCCATCTATCCATCCACCCGCCCACCCATACATCCATCCATCCATTCACCTACTTATCCATCTATCCACCCACATATTTATCCATCCATCCATCCACCCACCTATTTATCCATCCATCCATCCATCCACTCATTCCTTCACATGCTTACTCATCCCAACACCCAAGTAAAGAATCAAAAAATGGTCCAAGGGAAGAAATCAACCAACCATCCAGCCATTTTATTTGTCCATACTGTGATCCAGGCCCAGTGCCGACATTGGGAAGTTCAACACGGCCTACACAGTGAAGGGCTCCCAGTGTGTCAGGCCATGGACCTGTGGTCTCAGAGGTTTCTGAGTTTCACCAGTGTCTGTGGGCGCAGAGTACAGAGGTGCCATCTCTTGGTGGCTCAACACAATCGCCAAAGGTCCCTGCAGTCTGTCTCACACCACAAGCCCTCACCCGCAGGCAGACACTTGGGGACCAGCAGGTGCACAGGCACACACCCACACGCACACATCACTCCGAATCTCTGAGACACGTAGAGAGACACACAGATAGCCAGGTACACACAGGAGCACATAAGACGTACACACATCAGCACCCCAGAGGTGCTTGAAGGCCCAAAGTGACATGACTACGCCAAGAATGCCTAAAGTCACACACACACACACACACACACACACACGGAAATGCAAACGGACACATATTAGAACACCCATAGCGTCCCAGAGGAGAGCTCTCCAGGCTGAGAGGCACTGGACGTAGGCGGACCCTCATCCACACCTCTGCTGGTCTTCCCCGGGACCGTGACAACCTGGAAGGCCCGCTGGGCCCTGCTGCTCATGGGACACCTCACCCTAGCTTTTCTGTCCCATAACTGAGGGCTGTGCCTCACTTCCCCATGACATACGGCAATGGCAGGGGCACCCTGATGAGAAGCGGGCTCCCTGAGTGGCGAAGACCGGGTCCCTGTGATGGCCACGCAATGCCGAGGGCACGGGCCTGCCCAACACAGAGCTTATCACGAAGTCACCACTCAGTGACCCTGCTCGGAAGGCCTGGGCTTACCGGGCTGGGGCTGGGGATCTGATTCCTTTTCCCAGGAAAGACGGATGACACTGCAGCCCGTGCATCCAGGGGCCACTTTTGTCCACTTGGCCAACAGAACTTGAGAACGCAGCTATGTGAGGGTCCCCGTGGGGCTTGACCCCACACCCAGGCCTCGCCCCTCCTTACCCAAAAGTGAGTACCGGAATCAAGAAGAAGCACAGGCCATGGAATGATACAGGCAGACTCGATATAAATAAAATACTCATATAAAAATAGTCTCTTACAAAATATTCTCTCTTATCCAGTGGCTCACTTTCCAAAGGATGAAAACTGTTGGGAGTTTTATTATTATCTTTCTTCTCTCTCTCTATTCCAAACTGGCTTTTTCTAATGGTGAAGTTTGAGCTGGGGAGGACTAAAGGCAGGAAACGTATTCTGGAAAACGTCTCCAAATCTGGACCAGCTTAAATTTCTGGATAAATAGCAGCAAACAGCAAAAAAATATAAATGTGTGTGTACATATATATCTATATACGTATAAAGGATGTCTGCTCTTGTACTTAAAATCTAGTGCGAAATCAACTAGTAGAGCTATCTGCATCAAGAATAATCAGCTACAATTCTACTTGGCTCCTTGTCCTAGCGACAACGTTATCCTGCAAGGGAGGCAAGCGGTCCACTTTGATTGCAGAAAACGGATCCTGACGAGGTGGAAGGATTCTTTTTAATTAAATAAATTAATATTATTTTTTTATCAGAATAAATTGTTAAATATTGCTATGATGAGGCCCTTGGGTCCAGGGTTCCCGCTGCGAAAGGCTCTGCTCCAGCCGAGGAGGGCCCCGGTGGGGTCTGGGGTAGGGAGGAGCAGCGCTGGGCATGGAATAGAACAGTCGAGGGCTCCAGAGAGATCTCTCCCACAGGTGCCTGCAGGAAACCCAGGAGAGGTGCCCCCTCAGCAGAAAAGACAAGCTCAGCGTTCCCGCGGTTCCCGTGAAGGTCGAGGACGTGACCTGCCAGGGGGGTTGCAGCTTGGGAACTGCCGGTCCCCCCCGCAGGCTCACCTGCAGCTGGAGACGGCGGGCCGCGCGGTCTCGGGCTCACTTGCACGTGTACACCTCCGTGCGCTCGCTGCACGTGTTGCACTTGACGTAGCAGCACCAGTGGAACTTGCAGTTGCACTGCCACACACGCGCATACTGGTGGGTGTTGTAGCCGCGGCCGCAGCACATGAGGTCGCAGCCGCTGGCCTGGGGCGCCGTCTTGTTGCAGGCGCGGCCCTGCGTGCCCACGCTGCCCGTCACCGGGTCCTCCTCGCAGTAGTTGGGAGACTTCTCGATGTACACCAGGTCTGTGTCCATGGGCTTGCGGTAGGACAGCGGCTTCTTGATCTTCAGGAAGGTGGGCCGCTTGTTGCGGCTGGCGCGCACGGGCTCCACGTGGACGGCCTCGTTGTACTTGTCCTTGAGCACGTAGCCCAGCTCCCGAAACTGTGGCAGCGTGGTCCAGCACGTCTTGGTGGTGCATGAGCCCGACACGCCGTGGCACTTGCACTCCAGCTTCATGTTCTCCTCCAGGATCTGCGGGGGCGGGCGGGGAAGAGCACAGCGCCGTCACTGCACCCGACCGCCCAGTGCAGCCCCCCGCCCGGCCCACCCTCTGCCCCCCAGCCAGGTTTGGCTTTCGTTTTCTATTTGGTGCAGGGAACTCAGAGCTGGAGTCACACCCCTCTCACTTCCAGCCTTTGCGCTGTGCCTTCCACCCGGCCCTCGCTTGCCCTTCTTGCCTCCCAACTCCTATGTGGTCCTTGGATGGCACCTGGATCGGTTCGCGCCAGTCCAGACCACACATAGGTTCTCTTTGGCCTGCACAGGTTTAAATCACTTTTGAACCAACATTTAAAAACCAGGAGAGTTCACTCTAAAAGACAGACTTCCAGGGGTTTTTTGGCAAACAGAAAGGGCATCTGACAACATTGGGTGATATTCAAATTATTTAATAACTGGTGCATCTGGGCGCTGACCTCCTGGCACAGAAGCTGGCCACAACTGCCAGCACGGCAGTCCTGAGGTGTCCTGGCTCACTGCAGTCTCTGCCAGCAGTGTCACACGGCAACAATACCCAGAGCTGCACCAGCAGCTGCCTCCTTCACAGGCTAGCATCCCTCAATTTGCCATAGTCCTCACCACTCCCTTTTGCTTCCCTGACCTCAAGCTATGGTTTCTCAGAGGTCATCTGCTCTGACCACTTATGACACCTGGTAGGCCCCTGGACATCTGAGTCTGGGAACCCTGGCTCTGATTTAACCTTCTCTGGCAGCTTTCTCTGACTCTCCAGGCTAGAGGATGTACCCCTTCTGAGCTCCCAATACCCCTTGGGCTTCCATCATCATAGCATGAGAGGCAGCATTATAGAGGGAATAAAAAGCACAGATTCTGGGTTTAAATCCCAGATCTACCGTGAACCTGCTGTGTGCTCTTGGGCAACTTACTTTAGCCCTCTGTGCTGCAGTTTCCCCAAATGTACAATGGGGATAGAAATACTACTTAATTATAAGCATACAACAAAATGCTAGACAGCACTGAAAGAGAATGAACTACTAATACACATAAGAAGAATAGATCTCTGGGATGCAGAGACATAAAAGAGAACATACTGTGTGGTTCCGTTTACATGAAGTTCAAAGACGGGCAAAACTAAGGACTGTTTCTCATTTAACCTTTATTGACATATATAGGCAGCAGGCCAGAGACGGGCCACGAGCTGTACTTTGCTGACCCCTCCTTGGAATATCTCAGCAGTAAAAGAAGGCAGCACTTACCAAACGTCCCATAGTACAGGATATTTAGGTTGTTTTCTGTTTTGTTTTGTTTTTTTAAAATCTATTTTTTCCCTTCCTTCCTTCTTCTTTTTTTTTTTTTTT